AGCTTACAATTTCAAATCAAATCCAGACCTCTTGTGTTTTCATCAGATTTTAATCTAAAAAAAGTATAAATCACAATCAATATTTCTTTTGTGCTACGACGGGTGAACGTCAATTATGGATCCCAAACAAAATGCACGTGACTAAGATCGAAAATTATAATATATTTCAACACCGTGAGTGAATTTATCCTTGTTGATAATTAAAACACATTTTTAATTTATGTCACACTGAAATTGAAATTTAAAATTATAATTGACATATCATGTTTAAAAATATAAATTTTCAATTATATTAGAAACTTCAAATTATTTATTATCATTTAAAATATTTTAAAATAAATTATAGAGTACAACTAATTAACAGTAATTGTAATTTTATTTTTAAACGGTTGTTTAAAATATATATATATGTACATTTTAGTGCATCAAATTGTTGTTTTTAGGCTTAGGCATTGTGTTTGAACCAAACATGTGAATTTATATGTACCAATAGTCCACCTCTATAAAGGGTCCAACTCTATAAAGGGGACTCTTGGTTAATTACCTTACAACATAAAAACTAGATAATTTCATGTAAAGGCTAAGAAAATTTGAAGAAAGTGGGCAGTTGAGTAAGACATCAAAATTGCTTGGAAGATTGTCCATGTCGTCCGCATGACGTCCAAATTGAAGAGCATAGGAATATAGTGAAAGATCGAAAGGTTAAATTCATCATATTTTAATCTAAAAATATGGTATAAGTAACAATCTCTATTTTTTTTTTGTTATGACCCGTGAACGTGAATTATGGATTCTAAACGAAATACACGTGACTAAGATACAAAAGTATAATACATTTTAACACCCTAAATGAGTTTATCCTTGTTGATAATTAAAAACAAATTTTTAATTTATATTTCATAATCAAATTTAAAATTATAATTATAATTGACGTATCAAATTTAAAATTTAAAATTTTCAATTATACTAGAAACTTCAATTATTAATTATCATTTATAATATTTAAAAATAAATTGTAGAGTACAATTAATTTAACTTTAAATTGTAATTTTATTTTTAAATGGTTGTTAAAAAAAGAAAAATATTTTTTAGTGCAATAAATTGTTGTTGATAGGGTTAAGCATTGTGTTTGGACCAAACATATAAATTTTATATGCACTTATAGGTTCAACTTCATAGATGGGGCTCTTTTATTTACCTTAAACATAGAAACTAGATAATTCTATCTGGAGGCTAACAAAATTTGAAGGAAGTGAACAGTTAAGCAAAATTTCTTAGAGGATTGTCCATGTGGCTCACGTGATGTCCAAATTGAAGAGCGAAAGAATACTATAAAAGATTGAAAAGTTACAGGTTCAAATCAAATTCAGACCTCTCGTGCATCAGATTTCAATCTAAAAAATTAGTACAAATCACAATCACTATTTCTTTTGTGCTATTACAGGTGAACGTCAATTATGAATCTCGACCAAAATCCACATGACTAAGATCCAAAATCATAATACTTTTAAACACCGTAAATGGGTTTATCCTTATTGATAATTAAAAGACATTTTTAACTTATATGTCATATTCAAATTGAAATTTAAAATTATAATTTACATATCAAATAAATTTTTAATTATACTATAAACTTAAAATTATTAATTATCATTTTAAAAATATTTTAAAATAAATTGTTGAGTATAATTAATTTAACATTAAATTGTAATTTTATTTTTAAATGGTTGTTAAAAAATAAACACTTATAGTGCAGCAAATTGTTATTAATAGGCTAAGACACTATTTTTGTTCAAAACATGTGAATTTTATGTGCACCGATTTGTCCAATTATATATATATATATATATATAAAAGAGACTATTGGTTATCTACCTTGGAACCTATAAACTATATCATTCCATCTCAAGGTTAAAATGATTTGGAGTCCCGTAAGGGATTGCCTAGTGTAGGGGTTGGACTTGTGACCATGAGGTTATGGGGTAAAATCCCCGACGCCTCAGGTCGGCGGGGGCCACGTTAGGTAGGATTATTGGTATTAATAATTCTAATAATACTTATATAATTAAAATTATTTTATGTTATTATTATTTATTTATTATATTAAAAAATATAATACTAATGATAATAAAATAAATATTTCATTTGTATTTTACGTATATTATTTAAAAGTATTTCTATTTTTTAATAAAAATTACAAAAATTCTTTGTTAATTCATAGGTTTTTTTTTAGTGTTGGCTCATCTGAATCTGCACAAAATCAGAATATTTAATTTAAATTAAATTATCTTATTATTTAATACATCAATATTTCTATAATTTATTCTTGAATTTAAAATCTAATTTAATTATTTACTAAATTTATTATTTTAATTATTTTTATATTGTAGCAATCTAATTAATTAATTATTTATATAGTTATTTACTGAATTATTCAAGGTATCTCTTTTCAATTTTAGAAAAAATAATCATAAACTAATACCAAAATATCTTTAACTTTTACTTAAATTACAAACAGACCATTACACACGTACAATTATTTTAAACAAAAGTCAAAGAATACAAATGCCAAAATCTCTTGTACACTTTCAAAAACCAATAAATTTCAACTTTTTGAATAGTTACTCATGATCTTTATTCCATGAATAATTTTGTACGTAAGTAATTACTCACGGAATCAATACTCACCCGTAATTACTCACAAAATTAAATCCGTGAGTAATTTTTGTTACTAAAATGCAATATTTTTGTAGTGAATTCATGCTTCAACTTTCTAATCATGTCCATACTTCATTGTCTTTTTTAAAATAGTATATGCATATTACATACACAGCAACTTAAGTACATTATATGGATGCTAGATTACTCAACTTTGAAGAATATTGTATCTGTAAATACAAGTCCATTCTCAATAATGAATTCACATGAATGAATTCACATAACATATATACATTCACATATAATTACTCACACTCACACACTATCTCACAATTACATCACCATACATATATTATTACATATATAAATTATGGGTACATTTCTTTAATCAAATATTTTAAAATTTTACTATTTCAATTTTTGCATTTTTTTAAAACAATATATATTTTTTCTTTTAATAAAATATTTTATTAAACATTATTTTAATATAAATTCAAACTAATTTTTTTCAAATTTAAAAAAGAAAAACGGTAAAATTCTATTTACTGTGCACAATGCACAGTAGAGAAGGCATCAAACCCCCTAGCTCAACATAAGCTACAGGCTTAGCTTTAACCTGTTTTTTCTTTAAAAGATTTTTCTTTTTTTATTTAAATTTAAAGTTTACAAAAAATATTTCACGGTATGCAAATACCCAGCAAATCAATTATTTGATAGTTATAATTATTATAATTTAATAAAATATATATATAATATGTGTCATTTTATAGAAAATAATTTTTTTATTATACAAATAAATAAAAATATAAAACTATATATAGATATAATATAAATTCATACTTAAATAATGCAATTTTAATTTTAAAAATTTAATATATATTTATATTATTATGTTTATTACTTATCAAATTAATACATATCAAAATTCACATAACTCAAATCAAACGTGCACATAGAAGAAACACACAAATTTCAATCAAATCCAACCTCAAACTCAATTTTTCTCAAATCTCTGTAAAGAAACACACCCTAAAACACAGCACACATATATATATATATATATATTATAAAATAGTGGTTAATGGTTGATATAATTAATATTTCTACTGACTAATTTTATAATAATATCACAACACTAAGTTTAATATTCAATATAAACATCATTTTCAATCAATTAATTAAACAAAGAAAGAAATCACATTGATCTTTGGTTCTTGTTTTTGTACAAAAAAAAATTATGTAATGTTGTGATCTGATGTTGTTCTTGGCCTTTTTTCCAAATTTCACTTAACATAAATCAAATTGACAAAAAATTGGGTATGTTCTTTTTGTGGAAAATACATTTCCAAAAAACCATATTTCTCCCAAAAGAAAAAGAAATATATTATATGTCATTAATTTTAAAATTACTACACAATTCTTTATACTTCACATAAGAAAACAACTCTTCAAACAATTTCACTAAACAAGAAAACTCGTTATTTTTTATTTTGTTATTTGTTAATCGAAATTTGATTTTATATAACTTTCTGAGAATTCTCTTACTGGGAATTCTTTGTTTGTCCAAACTATTTATTGAAAATAATTCTTCTATTAGATAAAATGCTTTGTATAATTCTTCAAGTTAAACATATACTATAATATTACACTAGAACTTAGATAAAATGTTTTGTATAATTCTGGCTTGAAAGTTCTAATAATGTCTTTACTTTATTTCTCTTTTTTCTAAAAAAAAATATAATAATATTCTAGCTAGGCTTGTTCAATAGAAACATTGAATTTTTTTATCAACAATTTTTTTTCGATACAACCTCAATATATGTATTTTATCTTCTTATAATAGTCACCATTTAATATAAAATATTATTTTTTTTTATATTACTGACATGATCCTTTGCTTCACACATTAAAAAAAAAAAAAAAAACCTTCATTCTCAATAAATAAATTGAACAAATTAAAAATTCATCTCTTCCTTAATCCGATTTCGAAAGACTACCAACAGTGATCAAAATAACCTCAAGAAGTTGTATCAAAACAAAAATTTCTAAACAAATAGCAAAACTACACACACACACACACATATATATATAGCAACCCAATTAACTCCATTGAATTTTTACAACACTAGTTTTTTTCATTATATATCTTCTATACAAAACCAAGAACTAGAGATCAACTCGTTTGGCTTCAATTTAACTTTCATATCATATATAAAAAAAATAAAAAAATAAAATTCATATCCAACCACTGTTATTTCATGTAATGTTTTCTCACCTGAACGACTATGAGATGACGACAATGGGCACAGAATCCAACAACACCTAATTATATATCTGCTCCCTTAATCCCTGATTTGTCGATCCTTAGAACCGATTATCTTGTAGTACTTCATACACAGCGACGTAACCGAATAATCATCCTCAGCATCCTTATAAGACCTCAACGGAAATGGCGGAAGGCGAGGCCAGGGGCAGAAGGCGCGGGGCCACGAAGATGGAGCAGCAGCGGGCGGCGAGACGTGGCTGGAGAAGAGGCGGCGGAATCCTCCGACGGCTAGAGCGAGGGGACGGAGCTGGGCGAGGCTGCGCCGGTGGTTCCTTTCGCAGATCATTTCCCAGAGGCATTCGTCGTAGGCGACTCGCTTCCACCGGCGGCTGACGCACGCCGCCCTGCCGAGGCTGCGGCCGTCGTCCATGTGACGAAGAATCTCGAACAGCAGGTTGTCGCTTAGCGCGGATTCTAATTTCGACAATCTATCGGCATCTCTGCCGCCGTCGCCGCCGCCGCCTGATCGGATCTTCTTGTTGGAAGAACAGTCTCCGTCGCTGCGGAGCGGCTGGCTCATGGGGATGGAGATGGAGATGGATATGGTGGGATCTGATTTGGCGGCGGGTTGGAAGAGAAGGATGAAATTGGGGTAATTATATATAACTGTTCTCGTCGGCAAGATAAAATGGGGTTTGTATGTCTGTCTGGCCTGGTCCCGGACCATGGCTGCTGAGCCGGGATTTACCTTTTGAGTATATTTTGTGCTGAATAAAGAATATTAATTACTTACTTAATAATAGATGGTAGATACAATAATATAAATACTAAATTGTTTTTATTTTTTTATATAATATATAATAAATTAAGAATAAGATGGTAAATAAATGTAAAAAAGAAAAATTAGTACTTACGTGTAGATTTTATAATTACTAAAAATAAAAATATAAACTTTAGAATTTGACGGATCAAAATACAAATATATAAACATTAAAAATGGATTGAACGAGTATTATATTTTCTTTATAAATATTATTTTCTCCATTCACAAAATATGTTCAATTACAAACTAACTGTGGTAAAAAAAAATACCCTATTTTTTTTCACAAATACTTCTAATTTATCATCTTATTATTACTTTTACACCAAAAAGTATAGAAACATTAGTTTATATTAATTATAAATAAATAAATTTATTTTTTTATTTAGTTGTATTATAGAAAATTTTAGTTTTTACAAAATAATATTCATATTGCATATATTTTTTTATTGTGATATAATTTTTAAAAGATTAATACATATTTTAATTGTTTAATCATATGTATTAAATTTATTTTAAAAATATCAATATTATTAATTAAATAAAAATAATAATATTATAATTTACTATTATTAACTAATCAAATACTATTATTTTAAATATCATATCACTAATGAAATGGTCATTTTGAACCGAGACGGAGAATATTATTTTTTAAATTTTGCGCCAAAAATAAATTTATGTTTTATACTTAGGCGAATATTGTTTCTTCTTATAAAGCGATGTTACTATTATTTTTTTTCTATTTGGTTGTTTTCTAAATTTGGTTACAATTGATATTTTTATTACTTTTATTTTAATAAATAACAACAATCAATTTGTCATTTTCTTTACTTACCTTATTCTTCTATCAATTATTTAATAGATTTTTATAATATTCTGATTTTACTTTTTACCTACATCATTTTTTAACATTACGATATTATTCTCATTTCACTTTTTACATAAATCATTTTTTAATTTAACATATTTGGACTAGATATATTCAACGACATCGAACTAACCACCATAAATAATCCACCATACAGTTATGCCGAATTGTCGTAGGATCTCCCGTTCTATACCACATTAAATTATTATTTCATCTATAAATTTAACGAGTTGAAAAAACAAATCATTAATTACAAATTTTATCGTGTTCTATCATAATTATATATTTACAATATTAAATACTTGAATTTATAACCGGATAATGATAATAATAATCAGATCATTGTCTTCATTCGATTATATTTCGAGTAATTATTGCATGCACTTTATTGTTTTATTAGACGATATTTTATCCTCACCCCATAAAAGAAATATGAACAACTCTATGGTTAAGTAATGAGTATGACACATCGTTAACTAATCGATTGTTGTAACCGTACCTATCTTTAGTACTAAATTAAAGAGTTTGCTAACAAAACACTTCTCTAAATACATTTTATAAATGAATTTTTAAACTTACGATATCATGCGCATTGTTCGAACTTTGATAACACTTAACATAATCATTTACAAAAACTATTATTTGAGTTGGTAGGTGAATAAATTTTATTAATTAATAGAATAATATAAATAAAAATAAACACAAACACACCTCAAGGTTCCTCTACTACTAATAGGCTTTTGGTTCCTTGTGTTTGATTGATAGTGCTATTATTATTATTATCTCTCAACTTCATTATTTTGTAATTTTCCAATTAGACGTACTAACAATATAGATGTTTGCGAATAGAATTTTCATGAAACTTGTGGTTGTATGAATGAACTTGTGATCGTGAGATTATTAAGTTCAAATTTCTGATGCCTTCAAGTCTTGTCTATAGTTCATATACTATATCAAGCTCAAAATGCCAATTTGAATCAAACTTATGAACAAACATTTTGCACTTGCTTAAAGAGAGAGAGATTAAAAAATATTTTTAGTATATAGTGGTTGGTGTTCTTAATTTACCAAATGGGTTTGAAGTAGTTATTTGCGATCATATTTCTCCACGTATGTACTTATTTAAATAATTTGTAGGTCAGTATAAATATGTACGAGTTATTATAATTGAAATAGAAAAATTCAATTTCATATTTCAACGCCACCATAAAAGCGACTGTGATTTTTTTTAACAAAAGAAATCATGATAAATACAAATAAACAAAAATCGATGGGTTGGAAAAGACAAATGAAGTAAGGACATGGTTAGAACTTCAAGCAAGATTATACATGAGTTTCTATCTCAGTTCTAGTGTAATTTTATATGTTTAAGAGCTCCTATAAGATTTATGGTTGACAAGGTATAACCAGTTGATGGATAACAATTATATATAAATGTATATGTATCTATACTATTTTTTTTTCTTTTTGGAATTTTTATTCAACAAAAATAAGTTGAAGATAAATAAGTTTGATATTTGGTTGTATAAAATATACTCTACGGTAACAAATTAATACATTTTTATTTCTACTTTCTTCATTCCAAACTAGAATATCTATTTTATTTTTTAATAATTATACTACACTTATCAAATATTTAAAAATGTGCTTATAACTTATAATATATTATACAAATATTATTATATTTATATTATAAATTGCAAATAAGGAATTTTTTTTTTTTTGTGTGTGTGTACTATATACAAATATAATATTAACATTATAAAAATTACATGCGATATACCACTGTATATGCTTTAATATTATTTTTAGCCTTTTTATCCAAATCTTACTTTATAAAAATAAAAGTAACAATAACACATGCTTGCAATTTTAAATTGCACATTGAGTTGCAATATACCAATGTTCACTTTGTGGTTTTTTGTGATATAATTTCTCATATGTACTATTTAAAAAGATATAATATATACATACATATTAACGTAATATATATAATATATATTTTATTTATTTACAGAAAGTTAATAATTTGACTTAAAATATTTCTTTTGTTCAAGTCATAAGTAATCATTTTGGCATTTTCGTCAATTCAATTCAAATATATTTATTTTTGTAGTAAAAGTACAATTCTATAATAAAAAATATTTACACAATATTACACATAAATGAATTTTAAAGATAAAATGATCTTTTTATATTTCTATAGTACTATTACCTATAAAATACATTCCCTTCATCATGTAAATGTGTGCTTGTTTGATCGGACACGAATTTTAATAAAAATGAGTAATAATTGTTACCTTTTTCTTTTATAGTAAAAAAAATGCAAAAATGTAATAATTTTTTATTTAAAAAAAATTATAACAAACAAAAAAGAAAAATAAACATAAATTTAAATGACGGAGAGAGTATATTATATAGGGATGTCAAATGGGGCGGGTTAGCTCCGGACCCGCCCTAGACCCGGTTTTAATGGGGCAGGTTCGGGTCTAAAAACTTTGGTTCGGGACGGGTTGTGAATTTTGAGTTTTAGACCCGGCCGGGTTCGGGGCGGGTTACGGGTTTTACTATAAACCCGCTCCACCCCGGACCCGGACTCGAACTCGGATATTATAATTTATTAATATTTTTATATAATATAAATTATATTATTTATTTATTTAAAATTTTTTAATATAAAATAGAACCTTAATTCTAAATCAAATTTATCTTAGCATTTGTTTCTCCTACAATTTTCTTTATGATCGGGACTACTGTTGACCGCCATGGTCAATATTTGATTGTTCTTATTTTTAGAACTATAATTTTTTGGTACTTTGAAGTACACTTTTTAAATATTAAATTATTTTTAAAAAATTTTATTTTATTATTTTAAAAAAAAAAACGTGTTTGTCGAATTAGTCCTGAACCCGGAGGGTTCGGGACGGGACAGGTCCTGGGGCCGGGTTGAAGCAAGGTGGAGCGGGTTTTGGATCTTAATATTTTCTAGCGGGACAAGTCCCGTGGCCTGCAAAATCCGTCCCGAACCCGCCCGGTTGACATCTCTGATATTATATGGAGGTGGATTTGTGTTGAATTAACTAATTCAACACTTGATCCACCTCCTTGAAATTCACATACAAAGAAAAAAATGGATACATATGACTAAGAGGGAGGGAATATAATTTTCTAATTACTAACATAAAAAGTTATACCTAGCCAAAAAAACACAAAATTGTATTCTTTTATCAAAATTTAACAAATTTATATTGTTCATTCAAAAAATATTAAATCAAATATCCAACTTTTATTTTCTATATTATATTAAAAATTAATTTTATATTCAAAACATTATATTAATACTTATTTATATTATACTTCATCCATCCCATATTGAATGTTTTGGTTACTGTAGATACGTGAATTTAGGATAAGTATAATTACTAGATAATTAAGAATGTATTAGTAAAAATAATTAACCTATAATATAAATTATTATATATTAAGATTAAATAATTATAAATTAAGATTAAATTAAGATGACTAATTAGTTTAATTAAAATTAAAAAAATTAATTAAAAAATTTAAAATAAAATTAAGATACATAATCATTTTTTAAAAATAAAAAGTTACATGAGATATGAGACAGACATAAATTCAAAAATTTTGTTATTGAATACCAACAAAAAAAATCAAGCGCCAAGACAAACATACAAGTGAACAAACTAAGTAATATATTTCATTTGATAATTTTGATAAATAAAAATGATTGTGAAACACTAACTCATGACCAAGCAAACAAATGTTTCTTCACTTCCTATTTTTGAGTAGAAATAATTTTTTATATTAGATATGAACAATTCATGTCATAATTAAGAAATAGTATTTTTAAAATTAAATACTTCGTTCGTCCCAAAAGAAGTATCAATTTGCTTTTCGTACGTAGTTTTAAAAATATTAGTATTATATTGAGATATAGTGGAAATAAAGTAGAAATGACTAAAATAACCTTGTTAGTATGTGTGATATAAAGGTTATGGTATTTGTGTAATATATTGTAAGTTATAAGGGTATTTGTAATGTTAGGTAAATAGTACAGTTACTGAAAAAGAAAATAGATACTTTGTTATGTGACGGAGTAAAATGCAAAAATAGATACTTTGTTATGGGACGGAGGAAGTAATTAATTTTGTTATGAGTTGATAAAATATATGTTATAATATGTATATTATATTTTTTTAATTAATATTTACGAGGAATTGTATTATCCATAAACAAATGAACAAATTCAATGTCTTTAAATTTTCACAACAAATAATAATAATAATAATAAAGCAAGCGACGAACAAATTAAATTTATACCATGCAATAATTAAAAAGAAAAAACAAAATAAATCAAACTCCTGAGCATCATGCAACCCCTCCGGCCAACTTCAACGCCGTCGACTCATCCTCAACAGCACTCCCTCCTCTTCGGCCGCCGCCGCCGTCCCTCCGGCGGTATCTTCCGGCCACCCATAAAAACACCAAGAAATTGACAACATTAATCCCCACAAGAATCCAGTAAAAGTAATCGAGCCTGCTGCTGTTCAAATCATTCCTCAGCCACCCCCTCTCCACCCCGCCGCTGCCACGCTCCACCGCCTTCACCACGGCGGTGCTCAGCCAGCTCCCGATCCCGAACTCGCTCAGAAACAGCGCGCTGCTCAGGCTCCTCGTCCCGTCCGTCGCCTCGTCGTAGAAAAACTCCAGCTGCCCGACGTACGCGAACACCTCCGCCGTCCCCATCAGAAAGCACTGCGGGAAGAGCCAGAATACACTCATCCGACGATCCCCATAATTAGAATAATGGTCCCTCCGCCGCTTCTCGACTGCGGCGGCGGAGAGCATGGCGAGGATGGAGACGAAGAGGCCGGCGGCGATGCGGTGGAGGGAGGAGAGGCCGCGGGGGTGGCCTGTGCGGGCACGGAGGAAGGGGACGGCGAGGAGCTCGTAGAGAGGGACGAGAATGACGGCGTTGACGGCGCTGAAGACCGGGGTGGAGCTCGGCGGGATGGAGAAGGAGATGAAGCGGCGGTCCATGGTGGTGGCCTGGAGGATGAAGAAGGTGGACAGCTGCGTGAAGGAGATGGCCAGGGCAATGGTCGACGCCCACACCGGGACTACTCGCAGGAACGACTTCAGCTCTTCTACTTGGGTTACGCTGCACTGCCGCCACCGGCTCGGCGGCGGATCTCTTCCGGCCGGGGCCGCACGCGCCGCCGCTTTGTCCAAGAACCTGTGCGTGCACACGTCTTATTAAAATGTTAATTACCGTCTATAGACTAAATATGTGTGTTTGTATGGAGGTTTCTAAATATTTCCACAGTGCATCAATTTTTTTCTCTTAAAATATCAAATCAAACACTTATTTTTTTTATATTATATTAAAATTTAATTTTATATTCATTACGTAAACACATATTTATTTCAGATCGTACCACTATTCCAATTCAAAAAAATTTATTATTCAAATCTTAATTCAAAATTCAAATCCTCAAACCCTACATACTAAATATAGGTCTTAAAAATATTGTATGTTCGCAGTGGTCGAGTGTGTTTTTTTTTTATTATTTAGTTTTAAAAAAATTTGTTTGAATTTAATATTAAAATAATATTTAATAAGATATTTTGTGAAAAAAATTATACAATTTATTTTAGAAAATCAGATTTTAAATAGAAAAATTTGAAAAACTTTTACTAAAGAAACACATTTGAATTGAGAATTTAGATTTTAAATAATAAAAAAATTAAATTGAATAATATGATATTTAATAGTAGAAATCTTTATAAATCCTTCAAACAAATGCATAGGTTTTTTTAATTGATTAATTAATTTTTGTTGGTATACAATAAAACCTTCTCAAAAAGTATGAGATGTTCACAAGTTTTAAAAATTATAAGCAACTATTTTTATTTAAATAAAAAAATTATATTACAGTTATAAATAAAAATATAATTATTTTTTATCATAAAATATAATATCAAAATATTATTTAAATTAAATTTCAAATTCAAATTATAACTAAACAAAGCAAAATGTGTAAAAAAAATCATAGCTCCCTGTAAATAATAACAGAAGAACTTCTGTGCAATTAAAATTTATAAGGGAGTATGTCTCAAAAATTTTGTGAATTAGATTTTGTTTTGATAGAAAATTTTGAAGTTTTGAAGTTTTGAAATTTCAAAAAGTAAAACTCAAAATAGTAAAAATTAAGGTATTTAACACGATGCTTTCACAATATATATATATTTGACACGAAAGTTTTCGAAAAATTATTACTCCTAGTTATAGTATTAAGACTTCAAAAAGTATGTATGTCAATAGAGTAATTCTTGACATATTTTCCATCAAAATAGCAAAAAATGATTCTACAACTATGGTGAAGAACAACAAAACACTAACCTGTATTGTTTCGTGTGAGGAAGTTTCCGGGCCCCGAAAATATCGGATTCTCTTGTCTCAACCTCGTATAGATCATCTTCCCTCTCAACCTCGACACCTCTTACATGATTTCTCACGGCAGCCACAACCACTTGAGCAAATCTAGTAAAAGCACTTCCCATGGGCTTTTGATACCGATACTTGAATAAACCGGCAACCATGATAATAATTGAAACAACCATAACCATTGTGGGTATGCCGAATCCCCAACCCCATCCAAGCTCGACTCTCGCGTACACCATGACCGTGATGCCTAAAAGGGCCCCGGTGTTTATGGCAAAGAAGAACCAATTAAAAAATGCGTATTTCATTTGGGCTTCCCCTTGATCTGACTCGTCGAATTGGTCTGCCCCGAATGAGGACACACATGGCTTGATCCCGCCGGTTCCAAGGGCGATGAGGGCTAACGCGCAAAAAAGAAAAGCATTTTGCCCCGTGGTTGCTTGGGGGCATGGTTTTGCCTTGCACCGGGGTGGTCTTAAGCTGTCTATGGACGCCGATAAAGTTAATAACACCATTCCCTATACCATACATGAAATCAAAATCAAGATTAGGTCTTTTTATTTTTTTACAATCGAAATAAAAAAAAAAAAAAAAAAAAAAAAAAACTTAATCGTATGCTTATGGTCAATTATTTTTTTTTTTTTAACTTTTATGTTACCCCGCCTTTGTTTGGTCTTATCACTATGACAAAAAAATCAAATATTTTTGTAAGATACCTAATATGTGAGGAGCAAAGATAAGAAAACATATAAGTTGAAAATAATATTTTCTATGTCATTTAATTATATTTTTAATTTTTTTAGGCTGTCATAAAAATTTTGTTTTTATCTTTTTTAAGTAACTAATTATAATATACTTTATTTGTTTCAGCTCAAAGTACTAGTTTTATCATTTCCGTTCGTCCAATTCAAAGTGTCAATTTTCTATTTTAGTAATAGTAATCATACACCAATACCAAAAGACCATTAATTTTTACCTAAATTACAAATATACAATTACTTTTTATATAAAATCAAAGGGAAAAACGTTAAAACTTCTTACACATTTCCACTAAGTAATAAAATACTAGTATTATCTTTTAATCTACTATAAAACCTCAAATGACCCATTTAGATGCACACAGATGGAGTAATTTTTTACTATCAAATATAAAAAATATATACTCACATTAAAAGGTGTGACCAAGAATATGTGAAGACAATTGAATGAGTAATAATCCATGGTAGGTTAGGACTAAATTTGCAAGTTTTCCATGTTTATGCGCAAAACTTTTTATTGACTTCAATCAAATTATGAAGTTTTAAATGAGATAAAAAGAGGGTTTAACCATTAAACCTATAGCAGAGGGTGTATGATTAAATCTATTGTTGGTTCAATTACAACCTTGCAATCATCAAGACAAGTTCGATTCTTACCAATACATAGATGCAAGAAAAAATGATGATGGTACGGAAGCGGCCCAAATAGGAATCGGCGAGAAATGCACCGAGCAACGTAAGAACAAATGCGGCGCCAATCCAATCCGTGACATGAGTTGATGCATCCGGTAGCGATTGATGCATCTCCCCCACCAAATAAAGCACCATGTTGACCGCGACCGCGAAAAATGCCAACCTCTCGGCCACCTCATTAACTACACTTATAAGAATAAGAAAGTCGCATCTTCTTACTATGAAATGCATTTATCATAAATTTTTGATAACATCGAAATATTTTTGTAGATAAATAATAATAATAATAATAATAATAATAATAATATACCTATAATAAAAGGGGAAGCTTTCCACCCTCCGGTTGTGAGTTTATCGGCAACCCTCCCGTGATAATCAATGCATCCATTGGAAACTAAAGTCGAGGATGCCGCTGTTGCGGCTTCTTCTTTGTCATCCTATACAAAAAAAGTTCGATTTTCGGAAAAAAATGCATAAGAAAAACAAACACCATTGATATATGTGTATATATTATACTTCATCGTCATTAAATTTTGTATTCATTCTCTTTATATTTTACAAATGAATTAAGTACAGAATTAGAACAACTACCAAAATCAAAAACCAAATTTTTTAAAACATATTATTAACTATGCAATTTTTCAATTTCTCAAAAAAAAAAAAAACAAAACCATTATTTCCATATTTACTTTTTCATACAACACATCATATTCAACAACTATTTACCTAAAAAAAAAAAAAAAAAAACAACAATTGCAAAAAATACACTTTTTATTTACTATACAATTTATCTTTTTTCTCCATCTTTACAAATATCACATTCAACATTTATTTCTCGTTCAAAATATCATATTAAAAAATTAATTTAATCACAAAATATGTAAATGAGATGAAAACCCCGAATATATACCTTTATGTTAAACTTGTTGCTTAGGTCGGCAGCAGCAGCGAGGGGTAAGGGTTGGGGTGGTTCTCCTGCATGCATATTCACATCCATTTTATCATATAGTACTCCAAACTTACACAAGATCAATCGCCCTTTTTATACACACACACATATATATATACGTGCATATATAGCAGTTTTGATTTAATAAAATGTTGAAGTTTTATATTAATTGTTCTTTTGGACATATATATAATGATACAGAAACGATAGACATTATTATAAACTGCATCACTCTAAGTATATATATATATAGCCGTCCCAGCATTAAACTATATATATATATATATATATATTGTTGATTTAATAATGCATGCATTAGGGTTGTAATAATAAAACTTATGATGACCATTTCCAAGCCTGCAAGCAGTGTGCTGCGATATCCGTACTGTGGCCGCCGGCCGGCCATGACTACGAAATACTATTAAAAGAAGGTGATGATAATGATGCATTGACTCGTTATAATGTTTTTTTTAAGTATTTATTTGAGGGGTGATTTGATGATTACTTAAATTTATTTATTTATATTATTTTAATTCAAGTTTTTATATTTTCAATTCAAATTCAAATCGGAATCGTTAAAAGAAAAACATCTTTTTTGATACATTATTATCATAAATATACGTGTCTTTTCAAAGTTGTCACGACTAATGTAGTTGTCGATTTGAAATTGATCGGAAAACATTGGATTGGAATGTGATTGCTACATAATTAATGATGCCGAATATTGAATAATATTAGTTGACTCCCGTAAAATATAAATAAACAAATAAATTATGTGTATTTCTATAAGCTTAAACTTTTTATGTGAGACAGTAATTTAACATCTTTTAATATATAACTAACTTTCTATATTATGTTTGATAGATTGTGTATGCATAGATATTTGGTAAATTATGAATAATATAAGACGAGGGCATTGATTGGAAAACATTGTTGGTACACGATGATTACGAGACATTGAATAATTTTTCAAATTATGTTCAATAATGCATCAATATTTGGTAAAAAATAATGGATACTAGGATTGCAGTAAGGTATATGTTTTGTAGATTTTTCAAACTTTAAGTTGGCATAGTTATTTCCGTGCAAAAATTTCTTTTAACTCGCCAACAAAAATTTTCAATGAATTGGACAAGATGACGGAACAGATAGAAATGAAATTTGGTTAAAGTAAAAGAGGAGGTCGGGTTGTGTGTAATCCAAATGACAAGATGAGTTAAAGCCCATATTGTAGATCCAAGCATAATAGCACGGTTTTGCAATAATGGCAAGATGAAGAGTTAGAGTTCACGGGATTTAAATGAGGAGCCCATCTAGTTTGAAAATAAATAAAAAAAAATTAGCCGATCGAACACACGCAACATTATTGTATTTTTTTTTCTTTGTCTGTTATAGTTCTCGATGTTTTCATTAGAATAGTTAGCTTTATTCTTGGTATTGAGATTATTAATTCAATTCCGTTTTCGACATGTGTTTTTTCTTCAATCGACTTGCATCACTTTCACTAAAAATAATCATATACTATAAGGGACGCACATTGAAATACGAGTTGAACAAGAAATCTTCTTGTAGAGACATTGTCAGAACCGAATCTTAAATTCTGGCAAGAAGCAATAAATGACAAAATTGATTTGATCATGCAAAATCGCACTTGAATCTTGACTGATCTTCCAAAGCAGTGTAAGCCTATAAAATGTAAGTGTGTACTAAAAAGAAAATACAGGGCCAATAGTTTAGTCAAAAAGTTTAACATTTGATTTATTGTCAAGGCCTTTTAACGAAAAAAAAGGGATAACATTTTCGATACATATTCTTCCATGTCAAAGATCACCTCAAATAGAGTATTTATTCTCACGATTTTTTATTAGCACAATTTGAGGAATCATTTGATGGATGTCAAGACCATGTTCTTGACGGTAACCTAAAGGATGAAATATACTTGAAACAACTTAAAGAGTTTGTAGGACTTGCCCAAGATGGCAAGTTATGCAAACTCGTTAGGTCCGCATATGGTTTTAAACAAGCGCAAAAACAGTGGCACGTGAGATTTGTCAAAACAAACTTATCAAATAATTTTTAAGTATAATGAGTATAATAAATTTGTTTATCACAAAAGAATTCTAATAATTATGTATTAGTCTACCCCTCTTAGATGATGTGTTGATTATGGATAGTGATCAATGACTCATTGTGTGAAGTCTGTTTACCTTACTACTATGTTGAACATCAAAGATGAGATCATAATTAAACCCCAATTTCACATCAATGTATTAACAAACATCAAATCATAATCTCAATTTTACAACATATGATATTGTAATACCCTTGTTAGGCCAAATTCCGTGGATAAGTCGGTGTCAGGCCATTTGAGGTTGAATAAAGGTTAAATGGATTAAATAGACTACTTATGTCAACAATCTACATATTCTTTTTCGGAAGCCCTAATCGTGTTTGTTCTAGAGTAATTTAAGGATGGGTGACCTCTTGGGAAGTCTCACAGGGTCGCGTGAGTAAGAACAGAAGCACGCTATCAACACCCACTCCATTCCGGTCGCCGCCCACACGGCCACACCTATCAACAATGCAAAAGTTTTTCAATACCACATATTAAAACATTTCAATAAATTTAATACATAAAAATTACAAAACTTACAAATGTATTAGAGAGACAATTTTTCTGTGGTTGGGATCTGATCTTGAATATCTTTTCCACCTGTAAAAAAATATAAAATTTATTAATATATTTTATAAATATAAATAATATAAAATTAAAATTAATTTAAAAAATAATAAAATAATAATAATAATAATAATTAAATTTCTTACCCATTTCAATTTCTTCAATTTCTTTGTAAAATTCTAGATGATCATCCGTTGGATCCTTAACAAAGTTCATCTCATCAGCTTTCAATCAATCATTAGTGCACACCAATGCTTCTACCATTTTAGAACTTAAATTACATTTAAAAGGATTCACAACTCGTTTTCTCAAACTAAAAGGGGAATTCGCTAGCCACCGTTGAACTTAGAATTGCAACCATTGAAAGAACATGATACTTAGTTTCACTTCCCTTCCATCACTCCAAAAGATTGAAAGATGGATTAAACCGTTTCTCAATATCATCGGCTAGATATTTATCAATTTCATTCGAGATCTCTTCAAGATGATCTTCTTCATTTTTTGTATTTACATATTCAAATAATTCATCACAAAGACCATTGCCACCGCCGCTAAAACCATCTCTAGTACTACACTCTATCTCCATATTTTCTCCTCTCACACTCGATGTTTCATTCATTCCCTTATGCTCTGTCCATAAAATCACCAAAAAAAATTTAATTGTATCAATCACTTCTTGGATCTTTTCAGAAGATCCTCTCAAAATTTTGATGCTCGCTTTGATCACCTAAAGCTTGTTGCTTGGATCCAAAACATTGGCAATGAAAATCAAAAGATTCATGTTATCCTGACTCCCCCAATATTTATCAAATTTCAATTTCATTGCACCTGCAACCTTTCTAAGTGTCGGATCGGAAAGATCATTGCACATTTTTTCAATTTCAATCTAGAGTGCAATCAATGATTGATAGACCAATCCTCCCAATCCTCCTCATTCGGTGGTCCTACCCTTTCTTTACCCTTTTCACTCTTTTCAGAAAAATAGTTCATAAAAGGCACATATTCTTCAACCATCCTCTCAAACACCCTCCGATACTTCAATGCAACATCAAGCATTTTATAAGTAGCATTCCATCTGGTTTTCATATCCATAGGCACGGTTGATGTACTAGCAAACTTAGCTAGAACTGCAAACTCTCTAAATTTATTCAATTTTGAAGGTGAAGAATGAATAAAATTAACTGCATTCCTGATAGACTTAATTGATGCATCAAGTTCTTTCAAACCATCCTTAACAATTAAGTTAAGAATATGACATGAACACTTCAAATGTAAATATTTTCCTTCAAACATCAACATATTTTCCATTTTCATTCTCCTTTTCAAATAATCAATGGCGGTGTCATTAAAAGATGCATTCTCAACTACAACTGAAAAAACTTTTTCTATCCCCTACTATCTCGAGCAAACTTCAACCATTCTATCAATTTCTTCCCCAGACTGACAAGTAATTTTTGTAAAACTAATTATTCTCTTGTGCAATTTCCATTCTCTATCTATAAAATGAGCCGTGACTACCATATAATTTATATTATAAATAGATGTCCAAGTCTCGGTAGTTATGCTCACTCTTTGACCATTGATTGCAAGTTTCATCTTAGCTTTCTCATTTAAAACTAAATCGTAAACCATACATGCAACCTTTCGTCGATTAGGGAGTCTAAATCTTTGTTGTAATTCATGCACAAATTTCATAAACCCCTTCCCTTCAACCGCTCGAAATGACACTTCATTGCTAATCACATACTTAACGGGCTTCAAAGCACACCTATTTTGCAATAATAAAAAAGAGATTACTATTTACAATAAAAAATTTCATAACTAAAAAAAAATACTATTTGCAATAAGAAACAAAAAAATGTTTAATGCGCATCTTTTTTTATTAAAAGAATGTGAAATCAATGAACTTCCTTATCTCGTTCCTAGAGACTCATTCGTTAAAACACATTGTTTTTCTTCCTTTTTGCTCCTTCGTATAGCGAACTTAATTTACACCTTTTTACCAAATGATTTTTCAGTCCACTTGTACTTCCATAAGTTATAGGAATCTCAGTTTTGCAATAATTGCACGTCGCGATTGATTGCTTACTTCCATCACTTGATATTCGGACTCTTTTTTTACAATTTAACCAATATTGACTTCTTTGCTTATGAGCTACAGGAGGCTTTGTTAAATCTTCTCTTCCTCGTTTACGACTAGAATACTCATCAGGTATCTCACTAGTTGGAGTGGACAATGAACCTGAAGATTCAGACTCCATTCTAAAAGAAAAAATAATAAAAAAAAATTAACAAGTATTGCAACTAATAAAAATTGAAAGTAGTCACAAGATACTGCAATTATAATTTTTAATTTATATGAAAATTTTGAATTTTGACGGCATAGAAATACTTTAAGCTAAACTACTCCATCTAGTCTACATATAATATATATAAATATAATGTATCCAAGAACACAACATAAGTCATAACATTCTGAAATTGGAATTACAAATTTTATCAATGTTAAAAAACCAAGAATTTCTTGTTCTAAACTTACTTCAACGCATACTCACCCACTCACTCACTATTACATATTTGCCTATATATTTCAACGCATACTCACCCACTCACTCACTATTACATATTTGCCTATATATATAAAGTTATATCCATTAATTCTCCTCATTAACCAAAATAAATTAAATTACTGCAACAAAAAAAAAAATAGCAACAGGTTTTGAAAAAAAAAAAATTATAGAAAAATATGAATAAAATTAAAAATATAAATAAAATTAAAAATAAAATAAATACAATAAAAAAAACAAACAATAAAAAACACAAATCAACAAAAAAGAGAAGAGAGATTGAAAAAAAAAAATTACGCTCAAACTTTGGTATTGGGAGAAATTATTTAAATTTGCAATTTTCTTTACCTCAATGGTGGAGAACGTTGAGGAAGGATAAAAGGGTTTTTGTAAGAAAAACCGGGCGTCGGGAGAACAAGATGCAAGACTAAAATTGTAGTGCGGTGAAAAATCTTGATGACAATGGTTGCTAGGGCGAGTGGGCGAGCGAAGGTGGAGAAGAAGAGGGGTTTGTCCGAAAACGGGGGAATTCAATTTGAGAATTCAAATTGGGAATTCTAAATCTAGGGTTAGGCTGAGTTTTGGTTAATAATATAAAATTAAAAATTAAAAATTTTAAATTATTAAATATATTTGAAAATTATTTAATAAAAAACTTTTGGTACGGTATAAATACCGAAATACTTAAACTTTCTAAAATTGATACCGATACCGTACCGAAATTTTCGGTATTTTTTGGTACGGTAAGTCGGTATACCGATTTTTTCGATAAATTTATCCAGCCCTATCCATAGATGAGCCAGTGCCAGGTCATCTGAGGTTGAATATACGTTAAATTGATTGAATATAACAACTCATGTGAACGATATGCACATTCCTTTTAGAAAGTCCTACTGAAAATCTCTCGGGGTGCGCAGGAGAGAAGCGCCGGAAGGACTTGTGTTAGCCTGTAGGGTTAGTCTATAATCCCGACACGCTCGGCTTTACATGGTTTGAGGACCGGGGTGTCACAGATACACCTTCTTATTAATATTGAACCTAGCTACTACACAAATTACACTAAATTATCGGTAGCATTGTCAATTGATATATAGCATCGTAGAAATCTAGACCTCATTATCGTACAGAAAACACACAAATAAGAATTAATATAGAAATAAAAATATTCAAGACAGGCCTATAGTACAACATGTAATTCTTCTTGTCTTTTCATGTTTTCCACTGGTGCACAAATATAAACATTGGATGTCATTACTCCTACACGGAAATTTTGATGTAGTACGTTATTTACGATCATAAAAAAAAAAAAAAAAAAAAAAAAAAAAAAATTCTTTCGTAATATTAGAATCATGATAGACTAATGTAACTATCTTTTACACGAGTCACATTTATAATATAACCTACAAGGATTGTTTTTGCTTATTGAAAATTTTAACCATATTTTATTTTCCATATGAGCATATTAAAGTCATTTCATTGGTGACAAGAAAATCTTCAAGGAGGTAAAAGTATAAAAATAAAAATAATATGTGAGTTAAATGCATCAATAATATTGCAAAAGAAAATTTGTGAAAGTATTGAGTTTTTCAACTCTTTTTACAAACAAATAGACTACACCACACAATAGGCAAACTGGCTGATCAATCCAGTAAGAATGAATACATATATAATTGTATGTGTTCAATCTGAACTCACAGCATGCCAATAATGAAGTTTCATTAAATTTTTACGTACTTTCTGTTGTCATAAATCCTCCAAAATCAAAATATTAATAAAAGAAAAATTGCCTAAGCTAATATGATAGATGATTCAGTACCCATCATACTCAAGGATTGGAACATCTCTTGTTAATATCAAACATAGAAATTGAAAATTTTATAAGAAATCTTTCATCCAAATCTAATCGAAAATCATTTGTGTAAGCCATAGAAACCCTAAGTTGAACTACAATATGTTTTACTAGTAAATCTCTTAAACTAGAAAACTTACTCGAATTACAAAATCAAACGAGAAAGGAAGGTAACCTACATTCAGAAGAATTTGAGGAAAAGAAAATTAATTTTTAAGTTGTGGAAATAATGAAAATACGTAATATGAAAGTAAAACTTATTCTAGATGAGTCGAGAGAAAATGAGGATAATGTGATTTCTTAAAAATAAGTTTTAAAATCAAGAAAATAAATGTGTTTTTTTAAGTTCATTGCACTCTTTGAAAAATACTACACACTCCTACCAATTCTCACTATTTGCTTCCTAACTAACAATTTGGCATGAATGAAGTCGGCCTCATTCAAATAATTAAGGTCGACAGATATTATGTATACCTTATTTATTTTAAATTGATTTTATAGTAATAAAAAAATAATACTCTTTTCGTCCTATAAGAAGTGTGTCATTTTATATTTGTATACGTTCTAAAATATGGGTATCGTTTTCTAATTTAGTTATTGTAATATCTATCTAACATAATAAATATTTTAAAAATTACAACTTATAATATATTATATAAATATCATTATTTTTTTGGATCAACCCTACCCACCAACCCGGTTCGACCCGAACCACTTCAATCTGACCCGGACCCAAATAAATTGACCTAGGTTTGATACGTTCTTCTTGAGAAAAAAAAAAAAAAAGAAAATTGGGATTTCTCTTGGAAGTGTTATCATCTTGTGCACAGCCTCATGCCTTCTCATGATAAGGTATGTTTGTTGCTCAGTTTGTGGGTTTTTTCAAAATAACATTTAGCTATATACATCGATGTGTATTCATGGGTTTTGGGGAGAGGGAATCGAGAGGGAGAGATATATAGATATATAGAACTTGGTAATTTTTTGTTCTTCCTCCCCGCCACGCTTGGTGGTTGCCGGAGTTCTGCCCTTCATAAAACTCTATGTTCTTTTTTTATTCCTTCTATTACGGGTTCTTTGATGCCTTTCGATTTCTCCATCTTTGTGGTGTTGTCTTGTCGGAAAGCTAGAAGTTTGCGCGAAGTGAGTTGTGATATGAGCCAACATATATTGTGTTTACTATAACACTATTTTTCTTGTTTCTTATTGTTATTATTCTGATTATTTGGTATATTTGATTGATTCGCTAACCTACTAATTTTCTTCGTGGGAATTATTGTATTTTGGTTGCAGGAACAACCCTTCTCGTCGATTCTAGGTGAAAAGAATTCTCAACACTGGTATCAGAACATTGGTTTGGATAAGACACGAGTTAACACAATTTTTAATCAGAATATTTACTTTGCCCTAGATTTGGTAGCGGAATATTAACTCTTACTTTTTATTTGTTAATTAGTTATAGGGTAAGGTGTGATTAAATTCTATGAATCGTAATTTTCAATTATTGTAATTTTGTGACACTACTATCATGTAATTAGTTGCTCCAAAAGCGAATAAGTAGCTGACCACTGACAATTACTTCATTTGTGTGACATTTCCATATGGGGCTAACTGTATGACTTTTGTGTGATATTTACCACACAATGACAATTATGTCTATTACACCTTTTGACGACAAATTTGATTTTTTTTTTTCAGTTTAACAACAAAATATGAAAAGTATCCTAATAACCCAAAAGGTTGTCAAACCTATATATAGTGATTTTAATCGTTTATTGACTAAAGATAAAAAAAAAAAATTGAATTAGATGAATATATATATATATATATTTTGTTGATAATATTAAACTTATTTGACTCTGTTATTAGAAAAGTAAGGAAAATATAATTTTGCAAAAGAGCTTTGGGAAAGATTAGAATATATCTATATGAAAAAGTCTTTGTTGAACAAATTGTTTATGCTTGAAAAATTCTTCTGATATTTAATTAAATCAATAGATAAGAATTTTGATGTTTTTAATAAAGTTGCTTAAGATATTAAACAAAGAGGAAACAAAAATATTGATGAATAGTGCTTTTGAATGTCATTCCTAAATATTTTTTTATATTAAATATGCTATTAATTATGATAGAGATAATATAACTCTTAGAACAGTCATGAGTGGATTAAAGAGTAAATAATAAGACTTGCAGATTAATGAAAAAAGAAAAAAAACCATTGATGAGCTCTTATTAGTTAGAAGTAAGTCACATAATTTAGAAAATTGTGAAAATAAACATAATAAGGACAAATAGAAAAGTAAATTTAAGTATAATAGGAGGAAGTGCTATAATTGTGGGAACAATAATCATTTTATAAATCAATGTTTATATTCTAAGGAAAATTTTATAAACCAACAATGTGATAAAACAAATGTGATTAAAGAAAATAAAGTTGTAGGTAATGTGTTTATGGTAAGAGATAATTTTTCTACTATTAATCATGGAAAACTAAGTGATTACCGGATATTGTTTTTGAGAATTTTGTTTTCAATTTGTAACTCTATGTCCGAACCAGTTTAGCCCAACCCAACCCATATAAATTGACCCATGTTTGATTTAAAACTCTTAACGTTGTGGGTTTATCGAAAATCTTCTTTAGTTATATATATATATATATATATCGATGGGTGCTCGTGGATTTTGGGGAGAGATATATAGATATATAGAGTTTAGTGATTCTTTGTTCTCCTTTTCTGTTGTAACATGCAGTGGTTGTCGGAATCCTGTCCTTCGTAAAACTTTGTGTTCTTTCGATTACAGGTTCTCCTCCTTTGTGGTGTTGCCTCGTCGGAAGGTTTAGAAT